GGAGAGAGAGAGAGAAAGAGAGAGGGAGAGAGAGAGAGACGAGAGACGGGATGAACTGAAAAGAGAGAGAGAAGAAGAGAATGAACTGAAGAGAGAGAGAAGAGAGAGATGAGAGAGAGAGAAAGAGAGAAGACGAGAATGAAATAAATGAAAAAATGGAGAGATAAACAATGGCGATGAGATAAGAAACAAAAGTGCTGAGGTACAATTTCTTACTTTAGAATCGTTGGCTTCTAATATTTATTTTCATTACGTATATTAATAATTCAACACTACATTGCGAGCGATTTCAAGTCCTTGCTTCTTGCATATTATTCTCGGAAAGTTAGATATGCAAGCTTTGTTCTCGAGGACGCATCTTTGTATTTAAGGTTATCACCAGTTGTTTAACTGCCTCATCATTATTTTAATCTCTTAAAGTCAACGTTCCAGCCTAACACATATCAAATATTAATTACCGTCTAGGCGAAAGTCGATAAACTACATAACATCGTTTTTATTTATTTAGTATATTATAGTCAGATAATTTATCCAGGATTTTTATGGATAATAATATACAACTTCGTAAACATATGAACTTCTTGAGTCTGCCTAATGATTAATTTCCAAAGCATTTTACTTCGATTTTAACTCTTATCATTATTGCACAGCTTTCGTACAAAACAGTGTGGAAAATTATACTTGACTTTATAATGCTTAGAAATTGTGCATTTAGCTACAGCAATGAACTTTTTATGTAATTGCTTGCCAAAAGCCGAGCTTCGTGACGCATGCTGTGTGGAATCTGCCGTCAGTAGTTGCCAATCTGAATTATAAATGTATTAAATTATACTAGCCAACCGTGCGAAAATTTCAGACATTTGTGGCGTAAAGGATCTGAAATACTATATCTTAAACTTATATTCAATTCTTAATAAACAATTGACTGTTGTAAATTGTCTCTATTTCTAAAACAATATATTTACGCCATATATCTAGATCTAGAATGAGTGAGTTGAATGATTTCGTATGACATTTTCTAATTCACTATTCCTTGAAATGTACGAGACCTAGAAAGTGTTATCTGCCTCGCAAATTCAATTATTCTTTCATTATTGTCACCGAAACAGTTTTATGACTTCTCAAGATAGTTTTACACCTCAATTAATACAAGAAAAAACAGAAGTGACAGAGGATGATCTAAGTTGAAGATGTAGCTCCATACAATAAGCACTATAAGTGATTTGTACTGTAAGTGAATAGCAAGGAACCTTTGTTTCCTTGCCAATGTAACGATGTTGCACAACTCCGGAAAGAGGCACGGCTTAAAGACTGTTCCCTAGCGCACTCGCTGGTAGTCGTCGACCGAAAACAATTCGCAATTATTTCGTACCTGCAATCTTCTTTAACGCAATCTTCTTTCACTAATTTCTTGGTGCACTCAAGGCATTTCTTCCATTCCTCTGGAGTAACTGTATTCAAAACTTCATTTGTGAGTTTCGTCACATCTGTTATTTTAAAGTTTTGTGGCAAGTTTTGTCATTTGATCCCAAACACATCTTGACAACGTAAACAGAATGGTACGCACTTCGTTCACTAAATACAGAATTTATCGCCCAAGATGAATAACTGAATGCCTACACATTCCCAAGAAAACAAGTGGTCGTGGTCTAGCGTTCAACACAGACCTTCACCTCTCTGGAAGATTTCCCGTCTAAACTAATTTGATAATAAACTATTACGCCGATGTCTCCAAGTTCATTCATCACCTCCTCGAAAAGAATTGAGTTCTCAATTTTAAGGGGAGGGAAACACGGAAACCCCTTGTATCCACTTTTTTTAATTGCATTGTGGAGTGCCTGCTTGAGAAATTGAAAATGAGGCAGTGTATTCGTTGTTGGAAAGAAACAGTGTCTACATTAGTATTTTCTGACGCTCTCGTGCTGTTAGAGAAAGATACCTTTTGGTCCTAAGAAATTGAGGTGAAATATATTGGGACCGTTGGCACTACATTCTTTTTTCTCATCATTTCAGCATTTGAAAAATCCTGATTCTTCGAGGAATTCTTCCATCTTCAAATGCTAGATGAAAGGATTCTTCCTGTCAGTAATGACGTGAGACCGAACGTTTATGTAATTACATATATTTTGTCTTTCTACTTACCGATCTCAAATTTGTAATCTTGGCGAATCGTGGCCATCCTAACACAATATCCAATTTTGTTCGTTCTTTTCGCGTCTTTGCTTCGCCTTCCTCGTCCTATTCTCACCCCTTACTCACACACACTAACATTTACATGCACTACACTACCAAACATGCCGGGAGATCAGTCGCAAGCTTAGAGCTCGTCCCGGCTGGAGAAGCGCCCCGCTGGTGGAACATACCCGGTTGGGGGGGAAATCGCCGCAAGCCGACTCAGGTCGGCGCCGGATCTCGCCAGCCAGCGCCAGAAAATCAGTTGCATCATTTATAGTCGAATATTTTATGGAACCAAATTTGAGGGAATATTTTGGGTTCGTGAAACATCCTACGTCACTTTCTCGGTTTCTCGTACTAAGTGTTCTCGCAACATTAGACATCAATCGCTTCAGTAGTCTAAACGATATGGGAACAATCACATTCCCGCCCTTATAGATCCATTTTTATTTGTCAACACTTATATATTTATTTATTTACTTTTATAAGCTTTGTTTTGGATATTTCTCTGCACATTACTTAAATCTCGCTCGCGTAAAAATTCTCTTACATTCATTGATCGCACTACTGAATGAACAACGTTACGTATTTAGGGTCTGAGATAATACTATACAATAAAGTCAAATTTTCATATGTCAAAACGTTTCTTTTCAGTCAAAATTTAGTAGTTCTAATTCGGAATTGGTGAAAAGAAATAACTAAACGAAATGCATTATAAAACAATGTTTTATAATACTATTTGACTTTTGGCGACTCCGAGCAGGGTCTTCGTACCAATCGGACTCTTCTGGAGTTGATACTTGCAAGAAATGTGGTTGGTGATCCTGGTGCATCAGCTCTAGCTGCTATTGCAATGAAATTCCCATTGACTGCTGAAGAATTGAAATCCAGGAAACAAAGAGCAGACGAGCGTAATAGGGCTCGTTTCCAAATGGTAAGAACTCGTTTTATCCGCACGGTTTTTAACCACCGAACGATTGACCCCTCACTTCGACAAAATTTGCAAATATCTTTAATTTGTCGAATTAATGTGGCAAGCACTGTAGATCAGTTTTCTATTATATAGTAAAATATTTTGAGAAAATAACGTTGAATATGTTAAAAACATGTTGAGCTCTTCTTTAATAGAAATATAACACTGAAGTTAACAATTTCCACATTATAAAATTGCCCCACACTTGGCCAAAGTCTTTTGATAGCAAAAATAAATTCTCAAGAAACCATTTTCCATTTTTCTCATTAGCAACATGTAATTAAACAATTACACCGAATTCTCGAACTTGTAAAAATTCTTGTTCATTTCTTATCAACCGATGGAAGAATGAGGAATTACTTCCGTTTTGAAAGGACATACGAAATATTAGACAGTCGGTCGAGATAATAAATAGTCGGACATTAATAAATAATTACATATGTACTCCAAAACAATAATAACATGGCCGAATATAGAGCAATGGATCTGCACAGTCCACGATAATGTCAAGAATAACAAACGTGGAAGCTCAAAATTCAAAATGAAATCGTTATCACAGTACGACGGGATACCAAAGTACTGAAGTTTTATGAAATTTCAAAGTGTGTTCCACTAATGAAAATAACACCTTAATCTGTGCATTCTTTATGACCATATCACGGAGGTGAAAATTTAAAAAAATATAGCTTTGGAAAAGCCGAACACTACGCACGCGAATTTCAACAAAATAATTGATATTCTGCCTATTTTGACACTCCATTTGCCATACTTTCATAAGCAGAATAGTAATGGAAATGTCTAGGTAAAAACTGTCGTCACTTCACGATTCAGGAATACAATACCAGGAATGACCAATGCGCTTATGTTATTACGTATGAAAAAGGAGTTTTGTTATATTCTGTAACTTATATTACTTTTTTCATTATTATTATTATTATTATTATTATTATTATTATTATTATTATTATTATTATTCCTTTCCCCATCAATTGCGTACCTTTTTTTTACTTTCTCGCTGCGTATTATAGAGCGTTATGTAATGCTGCGCAGAAAACGGCGAATTTTCGGGAGAAAAACTCTAATAACAAAAAATTCGATAAATCTAATTGCTAAATTTAGAAACAAAATTATTTAATACGTGGAGTAGCCAGAATCCATGTTTTGTGGGTCCGTGACACCGAAAAATTGAATGTTGGTGAAAGTATATCCGTCGGTGAACAACGTGGCCCTTTGAATTTGAAATCGAAATTTAAATTTATGGCGAATGAAGTCACTGGGACATTTTTCAAATTTTCAAAAAAATGGCTCCATTGTTTTTTTGAAATTGTTTTGTTGGGTAGTGTAAAGGACGTTTACAAGAATATGCAGGTTGGTATGATAATGATAATATGTGTTGAAAGCTATAAGTTTTATAAAATTGCAAAATCTCAAAATTTTTTCGGAGTCTTCCTACACTACAACTTCAATTCGTCTTTTTTCTCGCAACATTACATAACTTTCCCTACTGCGTAAGCGGTAACTAGAAAGTAAAATTCATGGTCTTAATGAACGTTTGCATTGAAATAAGGCTTTTTGCGATGCGCAGGTGGAAGAGAAGCTGAACGAATTGGCTGCTAAGGACGGGCTGCAATTCAGGGAAGCCAGAAAAAGTGGTCGCCCTGTAACAGGTAGAATGCGCCGTCCGCTTGCAAGCACTAGAGTCTCTAGATACGTAAAGAGTAGTGCCTGAAAGACTGCGACCATTGCACGTTCTTTCACACGATAGCTCCGCTAGGCAGCCTTCCAGAGTTAAGAATATATTACAATATTAGACGCCGTTATAGAGTTTCCAGTACATTACTAGTAAAATTGGGTTTGTGTGTATTCATGGATCCCACCCTGTTCGAACTTCCTTCACAAATGAATATATAGGAAAATGCCAGAATTGGCGACGTAAATGAATGCACTACTCACTGAATCTATGAATCAGAGCTAGAAGTATACCTAAAAACTCAGCGTCGAAGAACTACCACTTTCTGGAATAAATAGAAACGACTAACAAAAGATACATAATTTCGAATATATTGTGACTAGTTTTAAACTTTTTTCAATATCATCCCTTTTTTCTCGTCAATACCACACACACTAAAATATCTATAAAGTGGCACAGACTGCTCGTGTAACTAATTTTTCTATTTGAAACGGTTGGCGATTTGTTTTTGGCCCACCCTCTTCCCAGCTGTATTCCATCGGCGCCTGCAAGGGAATCTCGCGCGCGGTCTCTTTCTCTGTAATCCTTCTGGGGGCATTGCCACCGAAGAGCATCTTCGCGCTCCCCGAACATCGCACACCCCTATCCCTGCCCTGCGCCTTCACTAATTTGCCCAGGGTATTCCTTGCCCCATCTAGCTGAGGGTGCCGTTGTTCTACGTGCAAGGATCCGACTTCTCAATTCCACACACAGTTGCCTATCAGACCAAGAGATTGTAAAAGCGTCATAGTAAATGGTAGTAGACTCAAGGGATTTGTAATACCTCCCACGCTACGAACACACTTCCAACAAAACATCTGTCTTTCGCGGGTTTCGAGCCCAAAGTCTTAGTGCCCACGTACTTTGGCTCACCTGCCACAAGCGTCTGTTATGGTACTTGGCGATCACTTGACTGTACTATTTGTAAACGTGTTACAATATTAGTTATGTAATTATTATTATTATTATTATTATTATTATTATTATTATTATTATTATTATTATCATTATTATAATATGATAAAACTAAAAATATACTTTTTATACATAAGTGGCTTTTAATTTCCTTTTTAGACAGTCATAAGTAAAAACAGTTCTTTCAGGGCATGAGTAGTTTGCTAAAAGTACAATGTTTAGCACTAGTGCTAAAAGTGAGGCAATGCTCAAGTGACCAGATAAAGCTGTGATTGCAACAAAGAAAAATAATTTTGTCTGACCACCTCTGCTACTACTGACATTAATGTATCGTTAAAATATTTGTATAGTATTTTAATAGAAATACAAAGGAGGAGAGGAAAATGAAGAGGTCAAAAACTAGCAGCCCCAGCATTAAAGACAGCCGCGAAAATCAGAGGAGCAACGGGCCACAAATTAGCTTGGCAAGAAACTAAAGAAAGTTTGCAAAAACTAGCAGCAAAAATTAAAGAACAATCGCGGAAAATCAGAGGAGCAAGTGCAAAAATTAGCCGAAAATTGACGACAGAAAAGGTTTTCAATGGAAAATTCGGCAGTTCAACAGTCATGATGTCAAGAAGTAGTTGTCAATATGCGACGAACTTCGGGGAAAGATCCGCTGGTGCAAAGTAGACATGGCACTCAGTTAATTGAAGGAAAGGCAATGCAGAGTCGGGCGAGAATTGATTCAATATCTACGAAATCGAAAGAAGGATGAAGAAGAATAGGCAGTTTTGGCAAATACAGAGTGAGTAACAAGAAGTTCGCGGCAAGGTTACGAAATAAGTGAGATGGCGAAGCGACAAGTCGAGGCGCAAGTAATAAAGAACTAGAAGAACCAAGAACGTAAGATTCAGGAATTGCAGGAAATACGAAACTAAAATAGAAGGGGGTAGATGCCGAAGGATGGCAATATCAATGTGCCGGCATAATAGTTCTCAGGCATCCAATGAGAATCCGAATGCTTTCATTAAAGCATTACAGAGTTTTTCGTACTTTCGAATTTCCGCGAAGCACACAAACAGTTATTTATTGCATCAAGCGATAGAACGGTATGCAAAGGCGTGTTAGAAACGGTTATGCCCTTGCCAATTCGTTGAGAATTTGTAGTTAGGTTCTAGACGTTACTGGGGAAAGGACAGCAAATGAATTTTAGAATTTCCAATGAATGAGCGGATATTACCGTACTTCTAGACGTGAACAATGCGAGACTAACGCAGCACGAAAAATTGCAGCTTTGAAAATGTGATCTCCTCCCGTGTCGGATGAAGAAATAATTTGCAGTCCTCACAGAGACATTTTCCGTTAAAGCATCCAGAACTTGTTACGCC